CAATCGGAGGCCAGGATGATGCTCGGTAAGCCAATGGCAGAGCAGCTATGAGTATGTTGCGTTCAGGAAACTCGCAGCTGTGACCGAAATAAACATCATTCACTATGTAAACCAGTGTGGTGGTTGCTGTTGCCGTTTCCGAACGAAGCAGTAGAGGTCGCTGTTGGATTAGACTTCGTTGTAGTGAATGTCTTCGCGAGGCTGGAGCAGAGAAAATGATTTTGTATAACGCAACAGGGGGTTTTTCGTCATATGGGGGGCAGGAGAATGGTGGGAATGGTGTTAATGCATGAAGATTTTATCACATTAGCGGGTATTTTCGCCCATGTAGGTTTCGTTCTAGAGGAGTTTCACTGTACTATTGTAAGTTCTGTTTTGCAATTCACGATCTGTCTTTTTCCCCTTTGTTTTAATCTTTTTTTCATGGCAAAAACTAAGTACAAGACAGTGTACTATGTTCATCAAATACATAACGTTAAGTAGCAGTATACAAGTGTACAACATCGAGAACAACAAAAATGCCAGGGGTTTCACACATATTCCAATAAATTAAAACTTTTACAATTATTTATAGTTTTTGGAACCTTTTATTAGTCGTCTAAAAGTTTAAAATAGGAAATAGTGTCGATAAAGTGTGTAATGGTAGGTTTATGATTGGCATGCTTGCATTTATGAATAGAAATTAGAGCTAAGTATTCACAAATTAATTATGAAAAAAAGCATCTTTCACATACAGTACTTCCTTTTTTTTTTTTTAAAGACAAGTCTTTGTAAAGAAATGTATTGACAAATTTACTGAAATCTTTCCAAAATGCCCATGAGGAGATCCGGAGGAGGTGTTGAATTGTGGCTGAGGGTGTACAGTACTGGGCTAACTTGTGAGTGGGCAACACGGAATCAGTTCCCCCTTAGTGACGGTGTGGATGTGGGTGTGTTCGTCTCTCTATGTTCCCTGCGACTGACTGGCGACTGGTTTGGGGTAAAGTCCCCCTTCCGCCCGAAGTCAGCAGCCGCCGCGACGCAGTTCAGGATACGTTGCGTTGAAAAAGTTGGTTTTCACAAAAACAGCAATTTACATTAATAGCCCTTTTTCACGTCTCCATGGAATCATCGTTGTCAAGTGACCTCACGTGAAAGTCGGTGAACTCGGTGGCGTTTTTTCCGACCGAGCAACTCGGATCTCCTAGTTCATACGGGCGTGGAAGTGCACCTTTTCGAGTGGAAAGTGCGATATGTCCGACTTCCCAACTTCCTCGAATGCAACACTAATATGGCGGCGTGAGAACAACTTCCAGGTCACATCAATGTTTTTTTTTTTTCGTTTTTATGGGGAAAAAAGCCTGGACCTGACCATGATGGCGGCGCCATCGACGTGTCATCAACGTTGACTTGCATTCGCTCCATAAACACAAAAATGAAACCCTGGTGTTGTTTTTTTGTTTGTTTAACTTTTTATAAAGTTGACTTCAGTCACGTGCTTGTTCCTTTCATTTGACACTCGAAACACTTCCTAATACATTGCGATTAAGACAAGCCTTGACAATCATCGAGTTTGGAAATTCGCTGACACCCGTACATAAAGCCGGTTAGCAATAGCGTAACCCATGTGACTCAGATACCGGAAGTGAATCATCACGAGTCTCCGCCCTTGCTCTTAAAGAGCGGCTGACCGAGACGGGGCGGTCTTTTAGCTCTGTTGGACCAGCTTTTACACGAAATCGTCCAGGATTATCATTAAGGTAACGCGACCTCGTTTCGTATCTAGATATTCTGTTATAAACATAGCAGATGATCCATATTCCTTGTTTTCGTTATTAAATTTTCGCCAATTAACTTCTTAAGTATATAAAACCTACCGTATGCAAACTCAGAATCGAGGCGTTGTAAGAACTAGGCCGTGAGGTTACTTTCCATCGACGAACTGCTCCTGTTATTCACAATCGCAAAGATCCCGAGGGGAAAAAAAACCACCAGAAACTGCTGTCACAAGTGGGACGTTTGGAAAAAAATGTTCAGGTCCACATCACAATACAATTTATGCTCGTGCATGAAATGAAATGACAATTTCCGCGACTCTAGTCCGTTTCAATTGAAGTGATTTAGCTTCATGAAGGTTTCAACGCGTGGCACGGTGAACGACTGGTTCCCATGTCCGCCTCACAGTGCGGAGATGGTGGGTCCGAATCCCGCTGCGCCCTTGCTGTTCTTGCGTGGGTTTTCTCCGTGTACTCCGGTTTCCTCCCACATTACAAAAGTATGCACAGTAGGTTGAGTGAATGCTCTAAATCGTCCCCAAGTGTAATTGAGAGCGCCAATAGTTTTTTTTTGTCAACGTGTGCCTTGCGATTGGCTGGCAACCAAGTTCAGGGTGTACTCCGAAGACAGCTGGGATAGCCTCCATCCTGCCAGCGATCTTGAGGATAAACCGATTAGAAAATGGATGGATGGAAGTTCTAAACACAAATAGTGTGACCATCTTTGCACGTGAATATATATATTAAAAAAAATATATCAATGGTTCTTAACCTGGCTTCGATCGAACCCTAGGGGTTCGGTGAATCAGTCTCAGGGGTTCAACTGAGCCTCTGCCATGGAGGTTAAGACACAGTTGACTCAACATCTCAATTCGTGATGACATTACCACTTGGCCATCACTGGCTGTGGATGGTCACATTGCATTGCTTGTCCAATCAGTGCTACGGGAAATAGTTGCTCGGTAGTCAGCGTGTGACTGTCGTGATCGTATGTGGTGTGATTATTATTATTTAATTTTTTATGTTTTAACACATGCTATGTCGAGCTAAAAAAGAAAGTGGTCGGATGAATATGTACAACATGGATTCACATGCATCACGCAACGTGATGGGACTCGGCGTCCTATCTGCATGATTTGTCATGCCAAGTTGAGCAACTCTCGTCTCGAATCATATTTTTATTTTTCACTAAGGGTTCGGTGGATCTGCATATGAACTGGTTGGGTTTGGTACCGCTAACAAGGTTAAGAACCACTGTGTGTGTGTGTGTGTGTGTGTGTGTGTGTGTGTGTGTGTGTGTGTGTATAATTTGATGTGCATTTCTTTATACGCGTGTCAGATGCCATTAATTTAGTTAGCCAGATGTCTGCGCATGTGTGAGAATCAAGTTGGAGGGAAAAAAGAGCCAACCAAACAGGCAGTTTTGAATGACAGTACATCGGTTTATGCGGAGCTGTTCGCCTTAAAGCTTGAAAACATTGTTTAAAAGGCTTTCAGCATCAAATGACACAACAGGTGCGCTTTGTGCCATGTTAAAGTGCTCTAAAGTACGGCTTTACGTTGTTTCGAGAAAAAAAAAAAACCTTGTAAACCTGTTGATTCTTCACAATTTCCTGATAGAAAATGATCTTGACGGGTGAAAGATGCATTCAAATTGACAATAATGGACATTTATTTTGTTTTCTTGAAACCGATCGGGATTGCGCAAGAGGGTGAGTACAGTAAGCAAGCTACCGGACAGCAAACTAATGAGAGACAGGACATGCGATCAGGCCCCACCCCCCCCC